TGGCGGTCAATAGAATAAGATTTGTTTACTTACATGCATTAAATCAAATTTAGTATAAGAGAAACAAACATTAAATTACAAAGTTTATTTTTTTTACTAAATACCTGTTTTTTCTATATAGCCTAGGGTAAAGACCTATTTTTACCAAATTATTAACATCGGTCTAAAACTTCGTGAATGACATCCATTATCTTATCGTAACCTACATTTTTTTTATTTTTTATCGAAAACACCTAAATGACCATTTGCTTCCAACTTGAATTGTAATTTAATTTGATCACAAAATCGAGAAAAAAATGGCCAGCAAAAATATCGAGCCGTTTGGATCATATAACCTCGTTATTTTGACCTGTTTGAGGTGAAGGTTACGCCAAACAGTCCAATGTTTTTTAGGCCAGGTTTTTTTCTCGATTTTGTGATAAAATTATGTTACAGTTCAAGTGCAAAGCGAATATGTGTTCACGAGTTTTTAGTACCTCAATAAATAGACAAAGTTTACCGATCTCCAGGTCGAAAACACCCCATTAACATCGGGCATGCTGGAATGTATTAAGTGTGTCACTCCAAGACAGGAGTCTTTGTCACATCCAGACCACCTCCATTCATTTCTGTCTTAAGCTAGGGTCTACCAATCTCTGATGTTCAGGAGCTTCTGTGCATGGGCTTCAACCTCATCTTCCTATCTCAGTTGTGTTCATCCTCTCTTTTTCCTTCCATCTACATACCCAAATAGTAACTTTTTGACTCATCAGTCATTCTCACGACAAGCCAAGCCCTTCATAGCCTTGAAAGCCTTACAAACTGCACTACATCGGGTAACCAGTAAATTTGATTCAATTCTGCACTGTGCCTCAAGCTGAACTGGGTGCCATCCTAAAACTCATATACACAAAACTATTTAAACTTTCAAACAAATAAGTATTCTTCAAACGATGGAATCATTTATTTACTATTTTTCTGGTAGTTTGTTAAACTCAAAACCATTGTGTAGGAAAGAAATTACACCTTCCACAGTGGAACCGTAGGAAGTTCCCAAGATACTTCTAAAATGAGTAACCCATCTGCCAAGGGTGGTTCTTCATTAGTAACTATGATTGACCCTCTACTTGAGGAAACCTTGGTTCTAGGTTTGATTCACACACTTGGCACTTACATTACTGAGATGGCATTAGCACCCACTTGCCTTATTTTTTATTTATTGAAATTTACAACTGTATTTAATAAATACAACCAGTAATATGCACAAGCCTTCTTAATTATTAAATTTCTTCTTTTTTTTTCATGAATTACTCTGTATGAGAAGGAAAAAATTTACTGCAGGAGGAAGATTTAATTTTTTTTTCATACCTTCAATAAATTTCTGTTGTTTCCTCTTGTTCTTTATTCTTCTGTGATCCAGGTTTTTCTTAATTTCTGTCTTTGAATTCCTTAACTATTTGGCACGTTCTATACTTCTGTATCATTCTCTTATAAGCCTTTTTTTTTACTTCAAAGATATGGTGATTCCTGGAGGCAACAATGGTAGATTGTTTGCCCTCTCTTCTCTATGATTCCATAACTAACCCATCTTATTTACTATAGTGTAGTGATGTATGTCTTATATTTGGAAAGTTTGTCTGGGAGCAGTTTTAATGCATCAGCTATGTAGACCATTAACAAACATCCATGTAATATTTTTGTTAAATAAGTAGTTGATATTTTTGTGTTATCTCTCACAACTTAGTAATAAAACATAAGAAATAAAATAATTTTGTTTTACACAAAGTAAATCAGATGAAAATGAGGGTAGAGTACTTAATTGTACCTTTTGCCTACTGGTATCATGGATTTGGGTGTGCCTACTGCAAAGTTAACTTTAAAATAATTAGTAGAATGAAATTTGATAAAAAAATTCAAGTTTTTGCATATCTTAAATTACACTTTTACTTTAAATAATATTAGCCATTAATATTTATTGAAATTTATGAAAAATAAAGAAGATGATATTTATATTTTAAAATAAAATTGGGATGTCCTTAAATATACCTGTATTTTATATAAATTTCTCTAGTTCATTAAAGTCTTGATTTAATAGATGATATTTTTGGTAACCAAAACAGACAATATAACTTGACTTATATTTTAAAACAATACTTGAATACCATTTATATTATAAGAAGTAATGGTAAAGCATTAAGAAATTTTAGAGTTTTATTAAGTAGAAGTTAAACAAATAATGGAAATCTGTTTTTATTAAGCTTTGATTATTATAAATATTGTGTTAATCCAAATAATTTTTTTTTCTTCTCTGTTTTTTGGCAATGATAACTTCCAAATATACAACAATTGATTTATTTGTTGAATATACATGTTAACGTTCCGGAAATTTACTCTTATTTCCAGAACTTACAATTCCATATTTTCTTATCGATTCATATCTAAAGTCTGATTTTTTTCTTGTTTTTTTCTTCAGATTGGAGTCAATGGTTATTCTTTCATCGTTAACAATAATGGGCATGTACTTTATCATCCTGATCTGAGGCCACTAGTAAGTATTAGTATTATTGAATATATTATAAATATTTTGTAAGAATTAGAATTATGAAAAAAAAAAATAAACTGAAACATAGAATAAGAAGTTATTGTTGAAAAAAAAAGTATTTAATTATCAAAATTATTAATACATAAAGTTACTGACGTTATCTGATTTTTCATACAAAATTTATTTAATCATTCAAATTTAGAAGATACTTTGTTCATTAATAAAGAATCATGGATACTGAAATGAAATCAGTATTTGAAAGACAATTATTGAGGAAAGATAATGTATATGTATGATAAGATAATCAAACGAACATTTGACTTTAAGTGATTTATACACTTGGAAATGAAACTATGCCTGATAAATCACCATCAGTGCTTTTATTAATAGTAACTTGATTACTGTAGCCCTAATATTGATGCTCTTCAATGTGGCACAATGTATTAATATTCAATTAATAAAATAAAAAACTAATTGTAATTATAATTTTAGTTAGTCTGCAACATTTCAGTTAAATAGCCAGTTATGACTGTAAACTCTAATTTACCATTCGAGTGCTTGGCGCCAGTGGCATAGTTATTCAAAAAGTGAAATGAATATCTCCTTGGATTGGTTAGAATGAATTTCTAAGCTTACTGATTAATAACATAAATGAGATTTTATTTCATGTTCAGTATTGTTATAATATGCCCAAAGTACATATGTATACATTATATAAACATTTATTTATTTGTTTACATCTTTCTAATTTTTTTTTCTTTTTTCTTTTCTAGCTGGACAAAAATTTGGTAAATATTTGTATACCTATAATGTTTCATTATGTTCATATATCTATCTCTTCTTCATATTAAACTCTTTCAACATAAAGGTAAAATATTTTTTGTTTTTTCAGTTTGTCGAAACACTAAAGCCAAATTATAATAGCATTGATTTAACAAGTGTAGAACTTCTGGACTCAGATTCAAATCGTCGTGATAACAACAGCCTTCTAAATGATGTAAATTTCTTTTTTACATATATAGTTTTATATTAGTTGTATGATAAATAATAGTTTTATGTTAAAACCTGTATCACTCTACAATCCCTTCTTTTGGTGGAGTACTTGGTAAGGAAACATTTTATCTTGACCAACAGTTATACAACAAGGATTGAGCATTCAACCTTTACAACAAGGGTAATCATCTGTCTGAAACAAGGTACCCTTTTTATAGAGACTAGGTGTGCTTCAGAATAGTATCCTTGCCAAAGAGCCAATCCACTGCTGAAATAACAGAATAAATAAATTATGTGCTATAACTGAACTCAATCCAGTACATTACCCACTGAGCCACATTTTTATACACACATAATGATAAAAATAATAACATCAGTCACTTGACATTTGAAATAGAAAATTTCTAGCTCTTCTAGTAAGTTTAGCTATTATTTCATATTTATCAGATATTATATTTTAAATTCATTAATAAAATTCCAGCTGTTTCTCTCACCTTTTTATTTATGACTTGAAAAACAAAGCCTTTAGCCTTTAGTTTGTAACATTTCCTTTTTCTTCTGGCTTACTTAAAAATAAACAATTCATATTTTAAATATGGCATACTATACTTTGTCCCTTTAGTTGAGACAGTTAATGTAACTAAAAATCTCAGCTGATATATGTTGAGGAGGCGTGCTTATACAATCTACTCCTAGAATATACAGAAATTGAGTCATACTTATCAGTTCTCTCTATTTCATTTGGTAATCCAGCAATTGAATACTGCCATATTTTGGATGTTTAAGGAAACATAATATAATTATAGCCAATGACTTTTTTATTCAGTACTAAAATCATACTGTTAAAATGGAATATTTTTTATAGCCTTCTCCCACTGTTTGCCTTGATCTAGATATGATATCTCACATATCATTCATTTAATATGTAGTTGCTAGATATCAACTGAATTGTAGAGTAAAACGGACAAGTATGGCTTAGCCTTTGTCCTCTTCAGCAGAGGATTGTATAGGCATACTGTTTTAACATCTATCACCTCAACTTTCTTTTTACTTGAACAACCTCAACTCAAGGAACAGATTATAGGATGTTTTATTTACAGCTACTTTATTCATAAATTATATTACATTGCTTTGACTATTTGTTTTAACAAATGCTCAAATTCAATAACAAATAGTTGTCAAAATTTATATAGTACGATATATTTTCTCTGATCAAGAATTTGATCTGAGATGGATTAAATATAAATTACAGAAAAACACAATTGTTTATCATTTAATTTTCCCAAAATTTCCACCTTTTATGCAGGTCTTCTTTAGACCTTATTATTTCATTAAATATATTCAATGTCAAGGTGGATCTCCTTACAATATTTACTTTAATCTTTACTACTCGTGGTAACAATAATAGTTGTCCTAAACAAATATTCATTATTCAATTATGATAAATATTACAAAATCATATTCTTTGTTACAGTTAAGAAATGATATGGTAAATCAAATAGAAGGCGAGGCTGAGCTTAAAGTAAAAGTCCACTATGATGATATGGTAAGAAAGTTGAAAATATTATACTCATAAAACACTAACAATCTTTTTCTGGATAAAATAAAAATCTAAAATCTTTTTCATTAATTGTAAAAATTTTTATGTACTACTGCAATCATTTTTCCAGAAACTAATAATGGAAAAAAATATTTACAGGTTCTTTGTTAGATTTACTTTAGATATACCTGCATTTATATGATCATAAGAAGTATTTTAATAACTAAAAACATTTATTTCTTCTTTTTCTTAGAAACTTTAGGTTTATTCTAGTGATCTTGGAAAAAGAAACTTCCATAGTTACATACTACTTTATTTGTCAGCAAAGTTGATGTTTTCGGAAACTTTTTTCCATCATCAGAGCTGTCTATTATTTTTTGTTTAATAGGTGTGCTCCCTTTGTTAATATTTTTTTTTCTTATTTTTTATTTTAAAATCCGGGGCAATGCATGTTTTAGCCAACAATTGGTATCATTTTGTAATATGTAATAGACAGTTCTAATGATCAAAAATTTTTACCAAGACATCCACTCTGTATTAATGTGATACAATTAAAGTGGATTTGTGTCACTACAAAAGTTTCTTTTGCCAAGAACACTAGAAAAACATTTTTTTTTTTTTTAAGTGACTTGGGTGCACTGCTGCCATGAAGGCCTGTTGTAGGCTCTGTTTAATAGTTGACAGTTTTTCAAACACAGTTTAAAATTAGGGATTTCTTGCATCAGAATTTTCCAATTAATATTTAATCTAAATAATTGTAGCTATCCTACAATAATAACAGGCATACTGTTTATATTGCATACTGTTGTATGGTAGGTATAATACAATAATATCTTCCAAAAACTAATGTATTTATTTTTTATCTATCATTTCAGAAACGTGTAACCACTCGTCGTCAAAAGTACTTTTATCACCCAATAGAGGGAACTCCTTTCTCTCTTGGGCTTGTTCTGCCAGATGGTTATGGCCTTTATGAAGTATTGGCGGAACAAGAAATTAAGCTCAGCCACGTAAATGGTAAATTTCTTCTTCATTATCTAAATAAAAAATATAAAATCATTCAGCATGTTATATTATATTGATTATGAATAAAATTCATCACATTTTTATTTATTTATGTATTTCTTTAGTTACAGAATATTTCAAAGGAGAGAATTGGAGAGTTCACCCAGAATGGTAATTTGTTTTTAATAAAAATTGTTTGTGGTATTAATTAAAAATCTTTATTGAGGTTAAAGAATTACTTCACTTTAATCAAACATTACTAAAAAGATTATTAATGTTACAAAAAAAAACTGATCTGAAAACATAACTTTCCCATGTTTCTTAACGCCAATTTAAACAATAATAAATTAATTAAAATTTTTATAGTAGATATTTAAAAAAAATTATCTCTATATATTTCTGTTTAAGGTGAAATTAGTATTACTAATAAAAAGATTTAGGCTGTATATATTTCACTGTATATATTCAATTTTTGTTACGGCTTATAATGCAATTTTCATGCCATCTGTAAAGACTTATTTAACCATTAATATTTTACAATAATTAAAATATTTGCGGTATGATGTTTTGTTAGCAAAAAGTTTAATAAGTAAATAAAACTAAACAACCAATATATCAATAATAAACCATAAGATATTAATCGTTATAACTGTTGTATATTTAGCAATGAAATACGTTAAATCTATGGTAATCTATTTAAATCTATGGTAATCTATTAAATCTATTTTTCCGACATTTCTCCCACAGACCTGTTAACCGCGGTAATGAAATCCCACACCAATTCCATAGGGCCAGACGGCATTCCTGTCAAATTAATAAAAATATGTCTACCTGAAATCCTCCCAGCTCTCCTTTTTATCTACAATTTCTCCCTTCAGAATTCAGTATTCCCTACCTCTTGGAAAAAAGCCATTGTCCTTCCTTTAAATAAAAAGCCTAATCCATCCTCACCCGAAGATTTCCGTCCAATTTCAATTCTTTCTAACCTCTCAAAGCCTCTTGAAAGACTGGTGCAATCCCAAGTCTCCAAGTTCCTCGAAAAGTCCAACCAATTTGATCCTCTCCAATCTGGTTTCCGTCCCGGCTATTCCACACAATCTGCCTTGATTAAAATTACCAACGACATTCAATCTGCAATAGATGATAGAAAATTAACTGTCCTTATTCTTCTAGACTTCTCCAAAGCTTTCGATTCCATCAACCATTCCATCCTCTTCAACAAACTAAAATCATTATCTTTCTCCAATAGTTCCATCTCTTGATTCCAATCTTTCCTCTCCCAACGCACCCAAGCAGTCTCCATACCCAACCAACCACTATCTGCTTTCCTTTCTTTATCCTCTGGAGTTGCCCAGGGTTCAAGCATATCTCCTCTCCTTTTCAGCTCCTACATTAGCTACCTAAATCAATTCTCCATTGTTCCCATCACCTTTATGCAGATGATTCCCAGATCTACCTATCCTTTTCTCCCTCTGAGTTACTGGGGGCATTTGCCAAGATTCAAGAAGACCTTGATCGAATCAATGCCTGGGCAAATGTAAATGGATTAAAGTTAAACGCTGCCAAAACTCAGGCCATCGTCATTGGTTCCAAGCCCCTCATTAGATCCCATACTGACTTTCCCATATTACACCTTAATGACCAGCCAATTTCCTTCTACTCCTCTGTTAAAAATTTAGGATTTTTCATAGATCAAACCCTCTCCTGGACCAACCATATTTCTCACATTTCCCGTCGGACAATCTCTACCCTTAAACTATTTCATCGCTTCCGCCATCTCCTACCTCAACATATCCGTAGACTCCTAATTTCCTCTCTCATCTTCCCCCACTTTGACTACAGCTGTGTGGTGTATGATGGCCTCTCGGTGGAGCTCCGTGATAGACTGAAAAGATTAATGAATAGCTGCGTAAGATTTGTTATTGGTGCCCCGAGGTACTCCCATGTCTCTCACCTCTACACTGAGTTAAGGTGGCTCTTCCCCTCCTTCCGAAGACAATACTTTCTAGGTAAGTTCCTCTACCAAATCATCAACAACCATCGTCCTTCTTACGCCTACAACCTTCTCCAGTTCAAATCCTCAGTCCATTCCCTGTCCACAAGATCTCGACCTTCTGACCTTTACATGCCTTCTCACAGATCTGCCTCATTCCAAAATTCCTTTATTGTTCGCTCTGTCAATTTCTGGAATTCCCTCCCTATCAAAATTCGACATTCCCCCTCCATATCCACATTCAAATCCCTCCTATTCCAATTCCTATCACAAAAACAGTCAGATACTTGCTAACCATTCGAGCGGATTTTAATAGAGAATTTGATATATTTTTATTTTTTAATTCTTTATTTTTTTCGGAAAAGTGTATACTGGTCTATAAGAGCAAATAGCTTTAAGTTTCTTGTCATAGTATTAATGGTTTTGTATATAGTTTAGTTTGTTTTGTATATAGACTTTTTACCTTATATTTTTTTTACATTATTTCTTTTTTTCGATTTATTTTATTTTGGCCAGATGTAATATTTTAATTTTGTTCCATTTTGTTATTCTCAAGGGACTGTGTCCCAGAATAAAGTTATTTTTTTCTATCTTTCTATCTTTCTAATCCTAAAGATAATATTCCATTAATTTAAACTATAACAAAATTATTTAAGAGAAAGTAATTAGAAAGTCTTTAAAATTTTAAAGATATGGAAAAACATAATATTCAAATCAACGCTTAAAATAAAAAACAATAAATGTAATAATGTACTGTTTATATTTCATTATTACTGTTATTATTTATGGTAGTTATTCATGTCTACTCAATTCATAACGAGTAAAACACATAATTATATTCGTAGGGTGTACTGTGAGTATAACTATGCTGGAGAACACAAATTTACTTCTCCTGAAGACCAGGTGCTCCATTTTTTATCCAGGACAAGGCGTCCTGGGTGGAAATGGATGTCCCTACGTCCCCGTTCTCTGACTCATCTTCATGATCCAGGTATGTGAATGGTTTTATTACTTTTTCATTAATTTTATGAAGTTTTTATTTATGTTTTTTAAATTGTATTTTCAAGACTACTTAACTGAGGAATCTGAATAAATCCTTACCACCCAGTTAACAGAAATCAGTTTTAATAGTTATATTTTCGTTCATGGAAACTTACCCTAATTAAGTTTTACCAGATGAGATTGCTCATCTTTGAACACATTATATGATTACATGTAATTTTAGATAGAAAGAAGAAAAACAGTAATGCCCCAAGGTGTAACAAGCCACTTTTGTTTGGATTGTCCAATCATTGGACACTCTTTAAAATGATTCATTATGGGATAAGTAACAAACATTAGCTTTGATAACTTTTAATATTGTTAAGAAAAAATATTTGTATTAGATATGCAGCTTACAATTGCAATTAAAATACATCATTATAATCCATAGGGTATACTGCGAGTATAAGTAAGGAGGAAAACACAAATTTACTTTTTCTTTTAATATTATAATATAAAAAATAAAGAAATTTACAAAGTAAAGATATTATAACAAAAAATGAAGTCGCAATCTGATCAATCTTTACTAATATATGGAAAAAAAATATTTTCCCCTATTAGTTATTAAAATAGAATTTACCTGATTAATATAAATAAATATGTGATATTTTCAGAACAAAGCGGCACTAAGAAAATGGAAAAGGACTCTTATTACTGTACGTATATTTAATTTTTACTTTGATTAATATTATACTTATTGAAATATATCTACTTAATCCTAACTTATTACTGCAGGGTAATATAAGTACTGAAAAGTTTGGATTACAGAGAGAGTTATGGATAAATATGTACAATAGAAGATTAAAACTGAATAAATGTATACAACATTATTACCTGGATGGAATCCATTATTACCAACTTGAAAACATTGATTTTTTTATATAAAAAGCAATTTTTTCTTTTTGTTTTTCTTTTTAAGCGTTGAGTTATTTTTGGTTGTCATGATTTTTGGAAGCCTTTCTGCACTCATTCTTCTCTTATAAATAGCAGATTCATTGCCATGTCATATTGTTCGCTGTTTCTCTTCCGATACAGAGATTGAAATAAAAAACTGCATTTCTGTTTTTATGAAATTTGATTAGGGATTCTTAGAAAATAAGTATGAGAAGGGTTGTATGTGTATGACCTTATGAGCTAAGAAAATTTTTGAAAAATCACCAGACAGTCATGTATCTTTCATTGAAAATTTGTTCCTTTCTCTGTATATTCCTTTTTCTGAACAAAACTTTCTATTGAACTTTCCTTCCTCTTTTTTTTTTATTTTTATTTTTTCTGAATATGGATTTGTAGAGTGTTCAGACTACCAAAGTTCAATTACCAAGATCTATCTATTTTTATGAACAGATGCATGGGTTCAATAATGTAAAAGCTTTGGTTAGGATAACAATCTTTAATTACTGCAAAGTTTGTAACACAGTGGTGTTATAACCATAACAGTAAGGCAGCCCAAGCCAAACTACTATGACTGATCTATAACTTTTATCAGATATATCCCTTATAGTGTTGCCAGTTTGGTATAAGTTTATTTTATTATTTTAATTCAATTTACACAGACCATTTGTAAATTCATCATTTTGATGAAATAAAGACTGTTTTAAGGAGTAACAATAATTTCACCACACCTACACATTTCAACAAGTTATTTGAATCTTATAAATCTGAAAATTTTTTATATATATATTTTTTTCAGGTGACAAAAGTCTTGTACAGTCTCTTGTTTTTGATGCAATGGTAACTGAAGGATTAGATAAGTCTGATACTTCAAACATAAAAGAAGATAAACAGTAAGTTTATAATTCAAGCTCATATTTCTTAAATAAGCTAGATAGTGATCCTGTACGAATACCATAAAATGAAGTATATGTTACACATAAGATAAATTAAGTGAAATAATATATATCTTGTTTAAGTTGAATGCAAATAATGATTTTTTTTTTTAATTTTATTAACCATTCCATGCCATATTATTTTTGTTTTTCATTTTATTATTTTTTTTTTTTTATTTAGTTCCCATTTTGCTTGTTAGAATCTTAGCTTTATATGTTTACATATTTTTATATTTATTTGATATATTAGAGCACTTTTCTCATGAGATGCACCTGTTTAAATGCACTAACTTTATAAATTGTTACAATAGCCCTATCGGCATTCTAATGGCTCTACTGCACAGGTAAAGTATAGACATAACACGAAAAATCAAATATACAATTTATATAGATATATACATATTTTTATTATTGCACATCACAGTTTTTTACCTATAAACTTTAACTAAACACATATTAGCATTATTTTTAAGGAGAAAAATTGTGGAAAAAAATTGATAACAAATGCTATCTACTCAAATATATATTGAGAATTTATGTAATGATTTTCTTTCACTTTTTATTTACTCAAAGAAATTTTTCATAATCTTAACTCAAGTAATTTGTATATTTAAACAGTCAAAATATTACTATATCTATTGGTAAATTTTAATTAATTACATTAAAAGTTTATAGCAGTATACATCTCTATCTAATTTCAGAAATCTATCTTATGATTTGTACTTATTTTCCTTGCTCAAATTCAAAAATGTATAATGGAAATTGTTGTTTTATTTCTTCTTTTTTTTTTCTTCGTTTACAATTTTTATGTTAAATTTTATTGAGAAAATTTGAATCAATAGTATACATATACCAACTCATTTCCTCTATTTAAAAATTATTATTTATTATCCAAATGTTATTGTAGATAGATTTAAAATATACAGGTTGTTATACAGGTATAACAATTGGTGTATTAATAGTTTTACACGACTTAAAGTCAGTTGGAAACTCAACAGAAGAAGGTTATATTAATATAAAATAAATTACTTTTAAGGTAAGTTAATAAATCTGAAATGAGGTAGTGATTGTAGTGTTCTTACACCTTTTTATTTATATATTTTATTTTTATATTTATGGAGAGAGACATGCATGTTTTAGAAAAATGCACATGTGATCAAATTATATTTTAATTCTCATTATAATTTTAACACAAAAACATATTTTCAAGCACTACTTGACAATCATTGGATACTGAAAGGATTAACTTTAGATAGGTTCATTTTTTTTTTCTTCTTCCTCTAATAACAAAACATAAACATCTGTAATAAGAAACATGAATACATACACTTATAGAAACTAAGAAGGGAATAAAATAAGACCTTTCTTAACATTTCGATATCTCTTTTATGTCCTGAAAACTACTTCAGTCTGTTGTTTATTAGTTCCATTAAGTATTCTTGACCTGAACTCAACAAAAAATTTAATGTGGGATAAGTTTCCATTATACCATCAACCTTACAGACTTATTTTGAGTATTAAGTTATATTCAGAAGAAATAGTATGATACTTAAGAAATTTATTCGAAGATAATATATCAACTCAGAATTCAATATAAGCTATAATATGTTCAATAGGATGAAATATCTTATTTAAATTCATATCTTTATAAAAATAAAAATAAATATTTTTGTTAGGATGACTATGGATGATTTAAGATCTGACCCAAGATTTTTGCATGAGGTCATGTAGAGTTCTTGACTTGTTTGTCTATTGCTTAAGCTGGCATTGAAAAAGGTCATACATGATTTAATGAAGAATACTGACTGCCATAACTACTATTAAGTGGCTAGTTCAAATGCCTAGCTATGTAGATGACATAGGTCCAGTTGAGTAATTCTTCCATAAAATAATTCTCTGTGAAAACCAACAAAAAATAATAAAATCCAGTGGTACAATTGGCTTAAGCAATTACCTTGTAAGCTTTCAATATGATTTCCATTGAATGAATATTTGGACTCTCACAAACTCGGAACAGAATGAAATTCTCATTTTTGAAAGAAATATATTACCCCATATATTAATATAAACATTTTTGAGACAAAGCAAGCTAAAAAAATATGTGATCAAACTTGATACACAATGGGATGAATAAGAGAAATCTCACGACATCGGCTAAAATTAACCTAAAGGCAGATAAAAAATAGTTAAAATTATTTTTGTCTATATAAATATCTGAGCAATTTCTATGTTTGTTCTAATTTCTCCTATAACTGGTCATGTTCTTAAATTTAGTACTAACGATTATAATGAACATAAGGAAAATAACGTTGTGTTGTTATTTGTTTGCAATGTCTCAAAATAAAATAATTTTTAAAAAAACATTAAATATTATATCTTCGTTTTCATTGTTTTAAATTTTTAATTGTGTATATCTAGATAAAAAATGAACATTTATGTAATTCTTGTAATTGCATATAACCATTGTATAATTTCACTTTAATCTTAATAAATAAACAAATACAACAAACAATGGTTTAATGAACAAAATTGTAAGATTAAATAACAAGTGGAGTTAACAGGTACCAGTATAAGAAGGCCTTAAGGAAAAAAAAACTTGTATTTACTTATTCCACTAATATCACTGTCTGTTAGTAACAAAATATAATACAATAAAATATCTACTGTAAAATAAATATCAATAATTGATAAACGATGCATATGTACAGTACATGTATACAAATAAATACACAAAAATTAAAAATTTGTTTTTATTTTTTTAAATAACGATGATATATGGTATTATAGACATTGATTAAAAGTAGGCATACAATCGTAGGCATTCCAAGAGTTATGTATCATATTCAAAGTTAATTTATCGTCAAATTAAAACCTTTACCAGTTTAAACAATGAAACCTAAATTTTCTATGTTTTTCACAAAAAGTTTTCGTTTTGAGGTCATATTCGTGTTCCTTGGCCCTGAAAACATAAGGGGATTAAATATCAAGTTAATCTAACGTCATTAACAAGTTCTATGCCCATATCCATGAAAACCCGTCTTTCGTCTGACTGTGTGATGAAGAGAATTAAGTTAGTGGGACTGTATTGAACCTAAAGATAGCAATCTAATGTATTGGTGGAAGGGAGTCTATGCTGTAATAGAGGGATGGACATGACTCAACTAGTATAGCATCACAGAACCATGAAAGTCGCCCTCAGATGGTAATAGACGGCACAAGACTAATATGCTTAGTGAAAACCCATTGACGAGGCCAAAGGGCACATTAGCCTTTGTTATTCATTTGAAAAAAAAATGGAAATATTAATTATTAAAATTAATCAGAAATCAAAAATAATAATGAAGGGTCACACTTTTAATATCTTTCTCAATACATTTATGTATATATGTGCATAGTTATCCAATGTGGATCACTGGTTCTAAATTTCAGCTGGTTCTATTTATTTATTTTTTTATCTTTATTATGAAAAAAAATTAATCACCCTCTTCTTTCTCTTGATATTTATCTTACCAGCGTCAGTTCACTCTTTTCGTCTCATTCCCAATTCTAAAGTATATCTATTCTCATGTCTTTCCTCTTGCTTTTCTTATCAATATTCCAGGTTTCTGGCGTTCTTCATACTTCTAAACATCTAAATTGATGCTCCTCAATTTTCCTTCATTTAAACTGTACTTAATTCATCTCTAATGATTTCATTATGAATGTAGTCACTTTCGATCTTTTTAACAATTCTTCAGAGAAAATTATCTTTGCACAGTTATTCTTGATAAATGTTTCTCCAAAAATGTCCAATCCTCTGCTTTATATAGTAACACTTGCAAAATTATTGTTTTGAAGATCCAATCTATTATTCTATCTATTATTATCTCCTTCCAATCTATTATTGCATTACTGATTTGACAGAAGAACCCATTAGCTTTTTTCACTCTGTTTGGAATTTCTTGATTAATATATACTTTACTTATAAGATTATACACTTATTAACGGATTCCATGATCACTCGATTGCAACTGATTTCTTCATTTCTCCCAGGTTGATTACTTTACTTCTTCGCTATATTTATCTCCATTTCCTTTCAAATTAATTCCTCTCCCCATTCCTTAGCTGTCATCTATGTTAACCTATATTATCTACAAATGGAGATACATACGGACGAAACACTCCCTTGAATTCTAAGTAAGCTGACTATATTGCCTCCATCAGATTGGGAAAGACCTTCTTTCTTCATAATGAATCTCAATCTCTTCATGAGAAAGGCTGCCAGTGTTACCAGATCCAATAAGACAAGATATATTTATTTCTTCCTCCATCCTAGGTTTTTTTCACAATTATTTGTAAAGAGAATGTGTGATCCATAGTCTGTCTTTGGATCAAGAACTCGTTCTAGATTATCCTCTATTGTTTGACGTAGTCTTCTTTCAAGAACCCTGGTTTACAGTTTATACACAGCTGGTGAGTGGCAGATGGGTCATAACTTATTAGGTTACCTTTCTGGCGGATCAGGATGATATATTATATTCTTATTCCTGTGAAATTCTTTTTTCACCCTTTTCTTTTCTGTGAACATCATTAATTCAGGAGAGATATTATTTCTTCTGGCTGGCCCCGTGATAGTAATTTCTTTTTCTATTTTGATTTCTGAAATGTAGTCATTCATGTTTTTTACTGGATCTTTGAGTCTTATTCTTCTTAATACAACTAATGTTGGTCCTTCATATATGGAAAATCTCTTCTTATAAGAGATTTTCCATAAGGCATTTTCAAAATCCTTTCATCAACACTAGCAAGGATACTATTAGTATTAATCAATAATCCAAAGTAACAATGAAGGACGCCACTTTTATTACCTCTCTATATATCTATGCATATATGTGTATATTTATCCAATCAAATCAGCTGGTTTTAAATGTCCTTTAAAGCCTATTATGAAAAATTTCTTTGATTTAACAATTACTTAA